CTGAGGGGATTTCACTGACCTTATCAGATCCAAAAGCTACAACTCTTGTTGCATAGGTCTTGCTTTATTTTGGTCTTAACCATCCAGCAGAAAAGTATAAAAACGAAGTACAAGAAGTAAAGCCATGTTGTTATGTTGAGCTGTAGGGGACTTAGGTCAACAATTTCTGACACCGGCCTAAGTATTCTTAAGTCCCACCTTTACAGAAAAGGAAATGTAGGCTTTGCGGGTTTAACTCGCAGTTGCACACCAGCGGGGCTCCACACCTACTATCACCCCAGGATTCCCCAGGAGTTGGTTGTTGCAGAGAGAGGAACATCTTTGGCAGGGAACTGCCCCAAAATAAGCGCGTCTTTTTTTCTTCCAACAGTTTTAAATGTGGTGCCAGAGGTGGATGAAAATGAAATTCTGGTTAGATTCGTGACCTTCTCCCGCATAGCTAAATTATTCTGCTAAAAATACTTGTTTTACAATTTGAATACCAGCTTGAATACTGTGGCACCACAACATACTGACCAGGGCACAGAATACAGCCAAGCTCTCTGTTGGTTTTTTCCAAGTTAGGGTGAGCGGGGTGTGCCTGTGGCCCTCAATAATCTCTCTCCCATTCCTTTTATTTCTATTTCTAGCCTTATACCCTGCCCCCATATCTTTGAAAGCCTTATACTTGTTGAAAGAGTTTCTGGAATAATCTATATGTGCTGGTGGCTGCCTTTCTATTTCAGAAGCTCCAGGGTCTTTTATGGCTCTTCAGGAAGGTTATTATAAAATATGTTCAGAAAAATTCCAGAAAGTTAATCCTTTTATACTGCACATACTCCAAAAGGTGGATGAAGAAATTAAAAAGGGGTAAGGAAGACAATTATTTTACTACATCAATGGTGGTGCTTCTCATCTGGGTAAAAAAATCACATAGCACTCAGTGATTTTGTAGTGCTTTGAAAATGCCTGGTGAAGTGGTGATGCCCTGGGATGCAGGTGAGTAAACAGGTTAGAGCCCCACTTAGGAGGTTTAAGAGGTGGTGTCCGATCCTAGGAAGAGCGCTATGCCAGCATCCAAAAGCCTCGGGTGAATTCAGGCCCACCAGTGACATTTTCATTGTTCTTTCCTATAAAGTGGGGGCTACTTTGTGTGTGTGTGAGAGAGAAATTAAGTTGTATAGAATATATGAACATGCCTTGCAAAGTCAGTAGACTGGCCAGTAGTTCTACGTTTACTGGTATAAATACACCATATACTTGTGCAGCTGCTACAAAACTTGGTTCCAGTCAACATTATCTGTTACTATTTACATGTGAAGAAAAAAGCACTTTTTTTAAAAAAAAAAAAAATTTGTTTTACTGGGTTTCTTTGTATTTCAAGATCTTTTTCTTTGTAAAATTTTAACAGGCTCAAGGAAAGAATCACAGTGAACATTGCAGGTAACAACCGCTTAATCCCAGTACAAAGAGTGACAGGTGAAGATTTTTGTGTTGTTGCTCAAATTCTAAAGAATCATCCATCTATTAATGGTATGCTTAAGAACCAGTGCCTCCAGCTTTTCATTTTTTAAGATTTTAAATATCTTTTAGAAAGAATATCCTTTTCGGGTCATCTGTGTCGGTTTCTGTCCATCCAGGTTTGGATGTTAGATATAACCTCATAAGTGATGCGGGCGCACGCTATGCTGCAGAACTACTTCAGGTATTACTTCAGTACGAAATATTCTTTCATGTTTGATGAAGGAAAACCATTTAGTGCCATGGCTCACACATAGATGTCAGGAATCCTGACTGTGATATGTTTATAATAGTTTTTT